GCTACCAAATCAGAAAATCATTTAACTGCACATCCAGTAATTTGATCTATGTCATCAAATGCCAGCAATGCCCCACTGATTTGACAAACTGGACAGTCCCTATGAGAAAGAATCAATGAACACAAATCAGATATATGTAAAGGGAACATATAGAAACCTGTTGGGGAACACTTCAATCTACCTAATTACTCTTTAAAAGATCTTCAAGTGGCTGTCTTGTCACAAACCAATTCTACTATCCAAATACACAGAGAGGTGTTGGAATTACAATTCATCCACAAAGTCAATTCTCACACTGATGGTGTCCTCAATTGAGATAACAGATGCCTAGGACATTATCAACCTAACATTCAATGAAGGTACCAACAGCTCTTTGTCTGTGTAGATCAATGTTTCTTAAACTTTTAAAGACCAAGGAACACCAAACAATTTTTTTTTGAGGAACTCTAAGGATTTTTGTTTGAGGGAAAAAAAGGTTGGGGGGAAAAAAGGGTTACTGAGCAACCCTGACCCCCCCCCCCAAAAAAAAGGGTCGCCTGCCTCTTTATGTGCAGCCATTTTGAATTCTGTTGTTCCCTGCGGCACACCAGTGTGCCACAGAACACAGTTTAAGAAACACTGGTGTAGATTCTTGCATTAGTACCCTTCCTCTCTAATTGCTATCCTATGATCCTTATCTGCTTCTTTTAACTATCCAGTCTTTGGTGCTCATAGATTACCAGTTCTACCTATTTGGTTTTCCCTTTGATATTTTTATATCCTCTGCTCCTTGTTTCCTGCCCCTTCCATTTTTTTCCTTCCCTCCTCTCTCCTATTTATTTTGGGTCTGCATATCCTAAACTCAAAACTCTGGTCATCTGAAGAAGTGGGCTGTGCCCACGAAAGCTCATGCTACCATCTACATGTTTTGTTAACACTTTATAGACTATCAGACCATTTGTTGTTTTTTAAGTTTATCCTGTACAGACTAACTCGGCTGCCCCCTGAAGCTTCTCACTTTTGAGAAGACTGAGGGAATGAATACCAGGGAGATATTTAAAACCTCTCTTGCTGAAACTGATCACAATTTGAGAGCTTCAAATACAACAAAATGTTAACATTATTATTTGTAATCACTAAGTAAGTGTTGAGTGTATTCTGTCATTTGAAAAAAAAAGTCACTATGTGCAAACAAAACAGCAGGGATGCCAGACAATAGTTATCCAGGCATAACTATCCTTTTGTGCCTTCTACTTCAGCAGACTTTAAAAGGGTGCAAGTAGGGAGAAGTTATCCAGTCCCTTTGCACTAAGAATGGCTTATACCCATAACGACCTTCTTCTAAGCAAGGGTTTGACTGTTTTCTTAATTTACAAACAATTTTCTTACCAGCTCAATGTTACAGTGTGAACACACTAGAATACCATGCATGGATTTAAGTGCCAGACATGAGTATGCACCTCACATTATTAAAAGCATGCAAGCTACTATCTGTCCCAAATTTTACATTTCACGGACCACAATAGGATGACTAATACTTTCTGGAATGTACTGACTGATAAGATTTGATGAATAGGTTACAACTTTGGGAGGGTGGAAGAAGCACTTCTCTATGCTAAGGTAAAGGATTGGGATGCGCGCACAGTCAAATTACCAAATTTCTGAAAACACTAACATGAATAGGAACTCAAAATACAGCAAAGTACATTGGGAAAAAACTTAATATTAAAAAGAAGTAATGCCCATAGTCCCAGAGTATTTCAGATGGTTTCTACAAAAATCTTCAGCAGTTTAAAATAATTGTTTTTCAAACAAATTACTATCCTTAAACATTCAAAATTAACTGAAGATTTCACACCTCTTGCAGACTCATTGTTTCCAACTAACTGAAATGGACAAATTCATATTCATGAAGTTTGCTTTGGAACCATTAAATTAATAAATCAGAAATTATTTTAACTGAAAGTTTAAATTATACAGAAGCTGATGAACCAACCCAGGAAAAGTACTGGTACAGCTAATACCACCAACTTGGAACAATAAACTGACAAGGTACTCAATTACTGTATGAAAAGGTTGAGGGAGGAGGAAGACAGACTACAGAGATCTCCAGTAACCCTTCACCAACCATTCAGTGACACAGCACTAATTTAATTACACTGATACTTCTGCCATGATAATTGCGTGAGTAATATGCAAATGAGGCTAAGCGTGGAATATTGCTGAGACTCATTTGCATACCTAATGAGCGACCATTTTTTTCAGAAGGGGCTCTTTCGCAAGAAGGAGCGTCTACACTGCCCCTTCTTGCGCAAGAAAAACCCTCTTGCGCAATGCCGTTCTTCCTGTCACGTAATAGGTGTAACAGCATTGCGCAAGAGGGTTTTTCTTGCGCAAGAAGGGGCAGTGTAGACGCTCCTTCTTGCGAAAGAGCCCCTTCTGAAAAAAATGGTCGCTCATTAGGTATGCAAATGAGTCTCAGCAATATTCCACGCTTAGCCTCATTTGCATATTACTCACGCAAAAAGCCACAAGTGTAGACATAGCCTAAGGATGTAAGGCAGTAGTGGACTGCCCCATAGGCTTATCCAGTATCTGAGTCAACTACTTGCTTTCCCCACCTTGCTGACTCTGTGTCAGAGGCAGCAAGGGAAGGGAGAGCAGGAACTGGTGCTAGGGAGTGCAGCTTAAAAGAGCCACAGCAGTCCCGGATCCAGCATGAGCTGGGACTATTTAGTTCTACCTTGTACCACCCCTGGGAGCTAACCCTCCTATAACTGCTCGGTTAACTAATTAACCTCAATTTATAATAAATACGCCACTTAAAATCTGGAATAGGTAGGTACACCACACTTTAGCAAACAGTGATGCACGATATACCAAAGTGAATACTTGTTTACTGAACAAATAGCCAGTAGGTAAGAGAAGGGGGGGAAAGTTGGATCCAAAAAGAGAAAGCAGTAAGTATTAGCTAGCCAATACTGACTTCCACAGTTGACTAATTTTCCTCAGGGTGCACATGATTAAGGAGGGGCAGAGGGAAATGAATCAAAGCTCATAAAACTTACAAAATGGTAGTTTCCTATTTGGTGTTATTTAAAAAACTGGATTTATTGAGAACTTTACTCTTCAGACACAGGAATTAAAAATAAGTATTATGTATATTATGCTTGAGATTTCCTTTGAGGTTGGTGAAAGCCATTGTTCTAAATCTGATTTCCATGGAGTCATTCCACTTGTAGAGAGCCAAATCAGCTTGAAGAAACACTAGACATTACAAGTTATAGCCAAGACCTCTTTGCTTTATCAATGGTAGCTCATGGGGCAAAGAAGATGCATCCCATAAAGGCTCCATTGTACAATATATACCTTTTGCAAAAAAAAAAGAAAAAAAACAACAACAAAAAACCACACACCACCTGGCTGCATTAAATAGCTTTGGCCAGAGAAGTGGCCATTTCCTTAGAGCAAAGATAAACTTACATAAACTTTAGCATTATGGAAAGCTTCAGGGCAGTAGCTGAGTTAGTCTTTAACAGGGAAAACTTTAAAAAACAACAAATAGACTACTAGCCCCGTAGCGACTAACAGAACAAGTAAATGGTATAGCTTTCATGGGCATAACCCACTTCTTCAGATGACAGGAGTGTTGGAAGTCCAGATCCAAGAATAAAGGGGGGGGGTCTCCCTCCTTTTTTCTTCCCTCCTCTCCCTTATTTATTCTTGGATCTGGACTTTTAATACTCCTGTCATCTGAAGAAGTGGGTTGCACCCACGAATACTCATACCACCATCTACATATGTTGTTAATCTTTAAGGTGCCACTAGACTATTCGTTGTTTTTTAAGTGTTTAACATTATGGAACATCTAGCTCCTTGTGTGTTAGGATGGAGCCTGAGCAAAGGTAATAATAAACCTTCCTCATCTAGGTTAGGAAGGAGCGATTGTAGGGCTGGGGGTTTATAACCCTCTTTACAAACGAATCAATGAAGGAATGTGATGTGTTTCACGGAGGCCTTTAGAGTCACCCTGGTTTTCCATCCATCCCAAACTCATCGCCATTGATTTTTACTACCCCATCTTGAAGCCGCTGCCTTCAGGCCTTCAGTGCACACACAGCTGGGGAGAGGGCTCCACGCGGCTGGCTTTCAGCGCGGCGGCTGCAGCCCCGGAGGCGCAGGCCCAAGAGCCCGGTGGGGAGCACGGGAGAGGGGGGGCCAGCGCACACCCTGGTTTTCCATCCATCCCAAACTCATCGCCATTGATTTTTACTACCCCATCTTGAAGCCGCTGCCTTCAGGCCTTCAGTGCACACACAGCTGGGGAGAGGGCTCCACGCGGCTGGCTTTCAGCGCGGCGGCTGCAGCCCCGGAGGCGCAGGCCCAAGAGCCCGGTGGGGAGCACGGGAGAGGGGGGGCCAGCGCACACCTGGCGCACCGGCCTGCCGCGGGGGGGGGGAACACCCGCAGCGCAGCATCCCCCGCGC